GGTCTCACAACAGGATACAAACACACAACCAACCACAGAATGTTTTAAAAGGTTAAACTAATGAAGAGACGTAACCACATATCCAACACCAAGAAAGCAGCACCGTTTGTCCAGCGCGGCTTAACGGTATACGTACCGTCCAATCAGGGTATGATTTAGTACGCAGTTCTCGATACCCATCTAGATGGAGTGAAGCAGCGTCTCCACACAGCAGGCGTGATAAGTATTTTAGGAAAGGACATGATGGGAAACTTGGCATTTGACTGAACATTTTGCGAACTGCACTGCTTACGCCTCTGGGTCAGCGCACAGCTAGTGTGAAACACAATGTTCCAGTTTAAAAATCTGACTAAGGAAATGGTTGATGCAATGATGCCACCATCGCTGCGCATCAAAGCCACACATTAGAACACTTCAAATGCCAAACATTTAAGTACAGGAATATGAGCGCCTTGCAGTTGAAGGCTTTTCGTCGTTGCTCTCCGGGATTTAGCATATTGTACGCATCAGATGGGTATCTGAGGTTCAGAATTGAGTCACCTCTTCAGTGATGCGAGACTGTTCACATCTCGTCTCCGGGGATTCCTGAGTAGTATGGATCTGACGCTTCAGAATTATAGAGGTCTTCTGGGTACCTTTGCAGGTTCAGAGCCGTGTGGAAGTGTGTCATTCATAGCCATCTTAGAAATCTGTTTAAGCTCTCAGGTATGGCGTGGAGGCTTAGGAGGAACGCCTCTGCGATGACGGCCGCGTGGTCATGGCGCTCTGCACAAAGGAGGATGCGTGAATCGGAGTGGTTGCGGGGATCTGAGGATTCACAAGTGGTGAGCACTCAGGATTCTTGGGGTATTGAGGGATTACGGAGGGACTCTCGGGCTTCTGCGATGATACTGAGGCATCTGAGGGTGGACAGCAGCGATTGAGGGATTTTGAGCTGGTCAGTTTTGAGGCATCTGCAGGTTGAGGCGCTCAGGGTTTTGGCATCTGTAGTTGGCATCTTTGGAGGAACTTCAGGGTTGAGGCTCATAGAATTGAGGCATCTCAGTGGGATGAGGCATCTGAGCAGCGTATTGAGGGCATCTGAGGCAGTCTGAGGGTATTGAGGAATCGCCTGCAGGGTATTGAGGCATCTGGTATTGAGAGGTCGTTTGTAGGCATCTTAGGTATTGAGGATCTGAGGGTATTGAGGCATCTTGAGGGGTATTGAGGCATCTGAGGGTCTTGACGCGCATCTGAGGTATTGAGGCATCTGAGGGTATTGAGGCATCTGAGGGTCTTGCGGCTCTGAGGGTATTGAGGCATCCTGAGGGTATTGAGGCATCCAAGGCATAGTTAGGGTATATGAGGCACAAGGCATCTCAGGAATTGTAGGCTTCGGAGGGTATTGTGGGCATCTCAGGTATGAGGCATCTGAGCTACAGGGGAATGGGGGAAGTCGTTTTGGAAGCAGTAAGGTGCGAGCGCAGGTTTGGAACACCAGAGAGATACTGGAATTCTGCCAACGCATCGGGAGTAACATAACTTCCACCCTTTGGGAGAAAAACATACAATTAGAAACAGCAAGGAATCACACAAACCTGTCAATGTTACAATCCGACTGTAACAGGCAAAAGATTAATCTCATGCTACATCTTCTGAATACGATCATCATGGTGCAACATAATTTGAATGTCGGTCCCCATCCAAAAAACATAGTTAATCAGTACATTTGAAAGCAAGCGAAAAACAACTCATTTGAAAAGCTGAAAACACATTTTCGCTTGAGATCCAAATATGATGCAGATTAAACATTTTATTTCTTTGGCTCTTGTTACACCATTCATAACTATAACATTCACAGCACTAGCCATCTCTTTTTTTAAACTCACTTCTCCACTCTTTAAATCAGTTTCACATTACCTCTTGAACCATGTTGCAGCCATCATAGGGAACCAACAGGACAAGTGCATGCGAGTTCCTCTGCATGCTGGTAGCCACAGGTAGACGGGACCTTGGGACAGAGGCATTGGAGGTGCATTTCCGTGTGGTAAAAAGGTTCAGTGTTTATATATCATTGGTAGAGATAAATCAAGTCTACATTTAGGATATTATGGCTATTACAATTACCTTGTTCTACTGCAAATTGTGAAGTTCCTGATCCCACCGCTCTGAACTTCAACTGGCCCGAACCACACTGCAGTGAGGGCGACATGCTCATCCATGACGAGTCTTTGGGACTGGCGACTTGTGTTGGGCTCAACCAGCCTGAAGGCGAAATATAATATAATATATATTTTTTAATAGTTTGTACTTTTAAAGACTTTAAAGAGAAGCAAAACAATTCAAGCCAAACAACAAACCCTTCAATACATAATCAAAATATTGGTACCTGCAGAGTCTGCTTGATAAGCACCTTCATCCTCCTCATAAGCGTTTGAGGATGACTTCTTGGTCCTGCCTGTGACTTGAGAATCAAGTCCTGACCCTTTTTCAAAAGCTCTCCCGAAAACAATTGTCCCTTCTTGGAACCCATTTGTTGTATCGGCTTCTTTTCTCCCTTCTCGTCTTTCTGTTTTCTTCAGACGATAACAGTCTGTAGTTTGCGCAAAATAACACGTCAGAATAACAGCTGCAGCCAGGTAAACACCAACGCTTTTTCTCTCTCCTGTGTGTATCATCCTGTTGGACATGATTGCTGATGTGAAGAGCTGAGAGAACTTCCTTGACTCAGCTATTTAAGCATCAAGCAGGTGCTGCGACAAGCAATCAAGCTGTTATTGGATCCACCTGGGTTGTGTCAAAGTTGCCAATAGTCAAGCTGTCTAACTGAGAGGTTCATTCTGGCCCATCTCACCAACTTAAGGGTAAAACACAACCACTCTGCCATCTTTTGGAGAAATGGAGAAATGGTGTAACCTATGTACGTGTAATGTATACACTTTAGACATTATGTTATTTACAATAAACCTAATGAGTACAAATTGTACTCCTCCCTCCTAAAATGAATAATCACAAGGTTATATAATGTGGTACGATCAGAAGCTCAAGAACATTTACTTATTTAAGATTACACTGTTTTGTCAACTTCTGTTGTGAACACCATTGTTAGAATTTGGAGCTCAAATTTGTATTTAGAAGAAAAAGGGAATTTGAACATGTGCAACTGGGCAAACTCCATCTGCAGAGGAAGCACTGAACAGCTACGGAATGAATCTTGAGGTGAGGTTTGTTCGTCTTCTTTGTCTATATTTCCAAATCTTCTTTACTTTATTGATTGTGGCATCACAACCTAGATTCACAGTGAAATGATTAGCACTGCATTTCAGAATTCACCAATAAAAAGGATCGCTTTAGAAATATTCAAAAATAAATCTTTATTTTGTCTATTTTTTACTTGAACCTTGACATTAACTGCACATAATACTTCAGGATTCATCTTTCTCCTGCTGACAAAGACTATATAATCTGCACTTTGAAAGTATTATGCAACATATTACAATTGTGTTTCATAATACACGTGGATATTAATACCAGTAGTCCAGCGACCAAAACAAGGTATGCTATTACAGTAACACATTGCTTCAGGCAGTTTTGTCTCCAAGGTAACTGGCAACAACAAAAAGTGTGAGGTGTTGGGGTGAGTGCATTACCTTAAGTGTACATATTTTATTTATCTTTTGTCAGTTTGCTATTCTCATTTTCATAATTTTCAATCAAACTAAAGCTTATAATTTACAATTTTTTCAATTGATCAATTTCATGCAGGCATTGCCTAATCTCATATCTGTTTTTATGACCTAACTCTGTCCCCTTTTAAACATGATAATTTATGATATTTTTCTTGTAAATGTGATACTGATTCTGCTACATAAATGTTTATAATAAATATATGTGATTTAGAGTCTTTGAGATATTTTTCATGTTATTGCCACCTAATTTATTTAATGTATATATTCGTCTTCACCAGGAGATGCACCTTACAAAAGCAGTAAATACTGAATACCTTCGTGGGAAAAATATTCGAAAGCAGTGACTTTAATGCAGTCAGAAGACATGACATCTAGCTCTTCCTGTAAGTCTGCTCCAATCACAACTACGATTAAATAAAAAAAAGCAGGCCAGTGTTTACTTCTCTTAGTAGGATTTGATTCAACAGTAAATTGTGTTTTACCATTAGACCCTGCTTCTACATTAGAACAGGATATCAGTGAGCCACTATCTGGGCTGGATGACAAAGTAAGACCGATCAAGTAGTTGAAAATACACAATCGATTTTGCTTTTCAGCTCTGTTTTAATCACTGTATATTGCATTTGTTAAAGCTTTTGATTTATTAATTGTTAACTTTAATATATTTGTGTTTTTCTTTGGTAAGAGGAGAACAGAGGGCTGTCCACAGTATGTCAGGGAACCTCCCACCTATTGTCTCAGAGCAGCAGGAGTTCTGAGGTATAACCGGGAGTCTGACAACAACAGGACAAACCTAACAACCATTCTTCCAGCGGTAAAAGAGATCAAGTTTCTACCTACTGTTGTGAACTCCAATGTACATGAATTTATGTTACTGATTATTTCAATATAACACTTGTTTGTCCAGTCCCAACCTGTGACAGAATACCCAGTAAGGTGTGAGTTCTGTGGAGGAAAGGCCCAACCTTCACTGGATCTAACATGGACTCAGGAACCTGAGGTAACAAACATATTAACACAGGAAAATAAACCCCCAAATACACCTGATGAACCGTTTACCTCCTTGCATCCTCTTTCATTTTCATCTTAGTCAATGCCACTGTTCTGCTGTGCTCAGCGGCAGCAGCTGTGTAAGATGCTGGTAAAGCAGAGATGTTTGGTTGAGGGCAGATGTGACCTGAGGAATCTTACTCCATCGTCACCAAGAGACAAGCCTGGGACAGTAAAGGGGGAGCTTCTCTTACAAGGCAAGGAGATGGAGGATAACAACAAGTTCATCATGGACTTACTGAGTGGACTGAGGTACAACTTTGCGTCTTAAAATGATTTTAAATCCATTACACAGCAACAGAAAAATAAAGTAAACTACTAATCTTTATACTGTAATGTTTATGCTTCATTAGAGAACAATCAGAATTGAGAATATACGATGATTACTCAATCCAACTACCGGGGGCAGAAACCTGTGAGTAACAGCTGAGTCTACGTAACGCATTGACAGCTTTTAATCTGTTCATCCAGTCATGATTGATAAGTTACTTGTGACTTTAAATGGATTTGTGAGGCTGATACAGTTTGTCCTGTGCTATTGTTTAGTTCCCCCAACATCAAAGGTCCTTAGCTTCCGGCTCTCTCGCGCTCCAGGAGAAGGATGTTGGACAGTTTGTCCTTGTAGCGAGGCTGAAAAGGAATTGAAAATAAAACAGGAAGAGGAGCAGGTGTTGATCCTTTTTTGTGATCACAAGCAACTTCAGTTTGGCATATGTCATTATCATCAGGTATGCTATTGTTTATTCTCTTATTAAAGTAAGTGCTAAGAATACCTAACCTTTATTGGAAAACTAACAAATAATCCTAATTTATTTGTATTGATTCTGGACTTCATTCTGTATATTATCTTTACCCATATACACTGCCCCCCTGTTGTCACCCTGTGTCTGATCAATACATAAAACTACACAATAGCAGTTTTAAAGCTGTATTTTTCTTTTAACATTTATTTATTGTGAATAGGGTTAAATATTTCTGGGTATAAACCTGTATGGCTTTTGATAGGGTTGCTTTAGCAACGTAATCTTGTGCTTTCATAAAGTAGGCAAGACACTGAAATTATAGAAGCAGATACTGAAATGTCTTCCTGATTTGTAGTCCCTAGTATAGCTCAGGTCCCAAAGATACTTGATTATAACTTCCCAAAAAGCAGTAGCTTTTTTAGTTGGACTCTCAGTTGCCTAATTTTATAATGTAGCCTTTTTGTTGTAAATGTTGGTTAACATTAAAGTATTTGATTTGTTTATTTGTCCATGTTTACAGGACAGGGCAGAACCTCTTCAGAAGAATTACTCCAATGGCAGGACCTTTCTTACTGTGTTCCCTGATGGCTCTGTTCAGGCCTTGTATCCACTCACAAACAATGCATAGATTTGTATAATGTGACCAGATTTCCAATGGGTCTTGCAAGGAGCCCAAGAGAGTGTGCATGCAATACTACATACAGTGGGTGTTCCCATCCTTATCGTCATGTTAACAGCTATCCCTCAGGCCTCTTGGCTCTGGTTGTCGTGGTCACTGCAGAAAATGGGAGAGTCTGCATTGTGTACGATGACAGCGATGCCTCCAGTCCATCGATGAGAGCCATGTTCCAGTCTGACGGCAAGGCGACATGTTATCACAGCAATGGGAACATATGGTACAAAGAAAAGTATATGTATATATTATTTAATTAATTAAAATGTTTACAATTAATATATATTTCAAAGCAATACTTGCCTTAAATTATATTTGTATATCCATTACTTATCACGTGTTATCTCCAAGATTTGCAAGCCGCTTTTGTGAACAAGCAATTCCCATCCGGAAAATAGGTTTATTAAGCATACGACTAAATAAATAGGATTAGGATTATATTTCACGTTGTGTGAGAGTTTCTTATCAGAAGTTTATAGTTTTGCTGTTGTGAGCGTGGCCTTCATTTACTTAAATTCATCAAGAATATTCAGTTTTACAAATCATCTTTCACAATATAGGCAACAATTGTTCTTCCAGAATTGTGGTTACCAAAAGTGAGTAATTGAAATAAAAAAAAATGTTGGGGTGAAATATTAATTCAATATTAAGGTAAATAAAAGTTGGCGGTAGCTAAATGAAAAACCATGAATTGGGAAACATGGCAACAACTCTTGAAAGACTTGCTGCCAGAGGCCTTATCATAATCTTAACCAAAGCAGGTCAGTCAATGCTTTAACGCAAGAGTTATACGCTATGCATCAGACTGTATAACATCCTGTTCTATACAAATGGGTGAATGACATGGATGGTTTAGAAAAGCTTATAATACTAATTGCATGTGTGTGTGTTGTTGCAGGCTGAATTTAAACAGTGCCGGCGGTCAGTGTTTGGATGAAGCTGGTGCCAGAGTTCATCGGTGGAGCTGGAACAGTCCGAGCCTCAACCCCACTCCCCTGCATCCCGTCTTCCTGTCCCTCAACAAAACGATTGGGGTCCGAATCCTCGGGAAGGAACAGGTGTTTGTTACCTTCCTGGCAAAAGGCCAACAGGCAAGGTTCAGAGTTGGTGCCTGCTGCGCACAGGTGAAGCCATGTTTTTCCAATAAATGTTTTTTCTGCCTATTCATCTTGCAGTTGCTTGCATTGCCAATTCTGCTTCAATCTTTGTTTCCCTCCAGTTTGAATGTGCAACAGGCAGCGATGCTTCAGGGCCGTCAATATCAAAGGAGGAGCTGTATGTGTTGGCAGCCAAGGCTAGGATTCATCAGGCTTTCCAGATTCTCCACCAGTACCTGACGACGCCTTCACATCCCCATCTGCTGAAAACCACATAAGCCCCTCACCTCATGTTATTGCCCAGAGGTCTTCTAGAAGTCAGTACTGATGTGAGACAGCCTTTATCCAAGGATGTCAAGATTGTCTGCCAGTAATAAAGTAATCGGTGACACAATGATCGCAGCTTTGCCATTGATAAAAAGTATGGCACATCCAAAAAGCCAACAATTGTAATCTTATAAAAAAGCCCTCAAAAATGACCATTTCACACCCCCACCCCTTCTTCCTCTTGTAACGTGCTATACAAATGTAATGTATTATTATATAATCAAGGTCATACAACAGAAAGCATTCAAAAACCTTGTTTTGCATTAATGTGGCTAGAAGTCCCATATATAGGGAATAGGAGGGTCTAAATAATATCAGACCCTCATCTTCTTGCAAAAAAGCACTGGTGTCTTTTATACAACCTAATGGCTCCTATGGGATTTCAAAAGTTATGAGAGCATTTCCACCACATTTGCTCAAACAGGACTTTTCTTTCTCAATAATGGTATTTGAGACCACACAACAGAATCTGAAAAAAACTAAACAATTGACCTCTAAATAACATTAGCAACGCATTCTCACACTACTTTTACACTGGTCATACCCTTTCAAATGATCTGACCCATAACCCATTATGAGGCTTTTTTAAACACATGTAACAGCAAAAAAGCTCTCATGGGATCAACTTAATTACATAATGGGATGTTGCCCTATAGTTTGGATGATCCAAAAATCAACAAGCGTTGCCACTGACGTCACTATGTTTTAGTCTTGTATTGTCAAGGCTAATCTGCTTGTGTGTTCTAATCACATAAGCTTGGATCCTCAGGTCTTCCTAATAACATTAGAGTGGAACAGATGGCTTTAAAGTGCACTCATGGCTGTAAGCAAGCAGGCCATCAAGACAAAAAGAGCAGTATCTCAGGCATTCATTTAGATTAACTACATTTTCTCTCAGATAACACCTTGAGGGCAGACACATCTTCTAAAAGTAATAGGTTTTATCATTCATAACACAGACCAGCACATCAGTAAACCACAACACCAGAGCCTCACAGTTAAATAGTTACAATATGTTTAATCTTCTTTCAGCTTCCTTCAAGTTATGCAAATATAAAAATTATTCAGAAATCATACCAAGACAACAGTTTCCCAATGTTATTCCCACAACAATGATGACAGTGTTGCATGTTCTAAAGGGTTAAGCTAGGTTTAGCACAAGTAACTTGAAAACTCTACATGTGGCTCAGTGGTACAAAGAACATGTTTTAAATCACATGGATCAGTTGTATGCAATAGGTTAAAGACTATAATAATCAATGTTAAATCTCTCCTTATGGGACCACTGAGGTTATCTGGATGAAATCTGCAGTAGTTTGAATAAATCAAGAAGATGACAAAAACAAAACAAATTGGCTGGCAATGTTGCCATGGATCCCACTCTGGCGTCAGGGGCGGGATATCTCCAATGGGCATGGTGAAGGTTGATGGGGGCATCCAGTCTGTGCTAGCAGTTTTCCTGCCTTCAGCGCAGACCTTCATAAACATCACTTCACAGCCCAGAGAGGATCCCACCTCAAACCTACACAGGAAGACCGAGGAAGCAGATCAAAGTCAAACAAATGGCCAATATAATTCACAACAAGAAAATCAGATAACAATAGGGATGGGTATCGTTAAGGTTTTAACGGTACAACTACTTTTATCGATATCGATCCGGTCTTTTAACGGTACTTTTATCGGTTCTTTTGGAGAAAAAAATAAGGTAAAACTAAACAAATTGTGAACAAAACTAACATTGCTTTTTATTTAAATAAAATAAATATTTCACATCAAAAGAAACAACAATGTTTTAACAAATCGTATTAAATAATCTGATGACAGAACTGTAACCAGAATAGCTGAAACTTTAACTAAATAAATAACTCAGTTACCTCTAATCATTAACCCATGTTTGTATAATGTAGTTAACTCCGTGTGTTGCTGCTAGCATACATAACACCTGACGTGGGAACGTTACTCGTGGATGGGGCTACAGAGCTACTAGAAAGACAGTCGAACCGGGTGCATTTCTCCGTCTGAATGTGGTGCACTTTTGCTAAATGTTTAGACAAATTGCTCGTGTTACCGCCCTTACATGCTAAACACTTATTGCACTTTTGGTAACGAGCAACGAGTATCCTCATCGAGCAAGCGGGCGAGAGAGAATCTCTAAAATAATCATTGACGCATTTTGCAGTCTTTTTGCCTATTAGAAACGGAGTTGGCGACACTAAAACTGCAATATAATGTTTGTGTAGCAATAATACATATGACATGTCTCCAGTACCGATAAAAAGACCGATAACGTCGGAGCTTAACGGTACCACGGCCTTTAATAATTCAGTCCCGGGGCCCGTTTAATATCGAGGCTCGGTACCCATCCCTAGATAACAAGCAAAGGCTGTAAAATAAGCGGAACAGTGAGATGAACACCACTGTACTTACATGGAGGGGCTTTTAGCTCTAGCCAGGATTAGACGAGTAGGGTTAGGAGTGGAGGTGTGTTCCTGTGTTCATGTGAACGTTCATCTTCATCTCGTTGTCCAGGATTTGCACAAGCTGCTGCATGGAGGGCAGGTGACCGGACTCTAGTTTGGACCACACTGGTACATCTGTGGAAACACAACACGTCAGTGTAATTGACTGCATTTTGTTCAATTACCATAGAACTTCATTGTAATCATTTGAAAGACTTTAGGGAATAAGCCCGTGCTCTGACTCACCATTTAATGTGATTTCAAAAGCTCCTGTAGACATTAACTGGTTTTCAATCATATTGCTGAAGAAGAACACCATCATGCATGCATATATCTGAAAGAAGAATGAGAGGAACTCGAGTTTAACATTTCTGCAAAGAAATAAAATAGATGTTCCAACATGTTCGTGCACTGTATGCAGTACAAGAGCAGTGCACTGAAAATAAACAGTTTCCAAGTTTTGGCTTGGATGAAAACAAACAATGTATTTATTAGCAGCACAGATCTATGCCAAATGCTTGCTAAATACATGTTTAAATTGCTGGTAAAACACAAGAATAGCCACAAGAGTTTTATTTGCAAATATCTGATGTGAGCAGTCATTCTTCCTCTGAGCCTTTGGCATGTGTGTAACCCTAGGGATAACAGACCAGGCAAAACAATACTTAACAACACAGCCTGAAGACCCTGAGTGAGCTAATGAAATCCCATGGGTTTGAGTTACACCTGGCAGTGTGTGTGTGTGTGTGTGTGTGTGTGTGTGTGTGTGTGTGTGTGTGTGTGTGTGTGTGTGTGTGTGTGTGTGTGTGTGTACACAACTGTATTAGAGGCAAACTAAAGCCCACTTTACTCCATTTCCATATTCATTCTATGATTGAGTGTGACATCTATCGTGTTAAAAAGTAACATTGCTCAGCTGCATCAGACACAGAATCCTGACCCTCTCTCTCAGTCATTGCTACACATGAAAATGAAAGCGTAAACCACCACACGTTCTGATAAGTGACAGATAGTTCTCTACCTTGTTTCCCTGGCCCCACTCCCATACGCCAGGTGCTTGCATACCGATGAGGGCGAATGGGTCCCTGCCGATAATGATCAGCCCAATCACCAGCAGTTTGAACACAGACAGGAAGGAAGCAAAATGTCTGGGGGGAAAAAACAAGAAACTGGCTTTTAATACAATTCCATATCAACATTAATACGCTTTATAGGTAGGAAAATTATCAGTTTGGTGTCATAATGTTGGTTTTTAAATATTAAATAATCACATTATTCTCAGTTTTTAAAGAAAGCATATTTGTTTGAAATGTAATGGAAAAAAGTATATTTAATATTGTCCAAAAAATATGGAGAATGGCAATAGTATACCTAACAAATTATGTTAACACAATTATTCCTAAATAACACTGTACCAAGAGTAGGACGTGACTTTAAAAAAAAAAAAAAATAGAAGTTGGGCTTCTTTGTGTAGAATAAACACAAGATTGAGAAAACATTGTGGCAATGGTTTCATCCCATACACCTGATCATTTTGGGATTCTAAAATGTATAACTTAAAATAACAAACTTGATATGGCTTTAACAATCTCAAACGTATCAACAACAACAACCTACAACACAGAGCCTGCATCCTTTTTTACTACTGTTAAACTTCAACATGTGTAACTGGTTGAGCTACAAACGGTACACAGGATTATCCGTCTAATGGCAGAACAAGTTAGACATGGCCAAAACTAAAATCATAAACTGGGGAATAGAAACCCAGGGTGTGATACTGTTTCCTTTATTTAATAGATCTCTAGTGTGTTTAGACTTCAACTGATGAAGACCCGAGGGTGCATGACACCACCCAGACATTTAACTGCAACATTTGGGACACAAATCAGTCTCACATAGAGCAAATTATCCAACCACAGCCATTGATGCTTCACAAGTTCACTTACTTGTAGTTCTTAGGGATGGTAGTTATGTCTAAGTTTAAATACTACATGGTTTATACTGGGTATAATTCACATCCTCAGCTGAGTAACAACTAATCCCAGGAGCCTTTAGACTGCTTGTAGAAATCCGGACATAATACACTTGTAACAAAGCAGATAATCTCTGACTTACTTGTAGAGGGGGATAGGAAGATAATTCTCCCCTTCAATACGGATGTCTGGGTACCGCTGGTACAAGGCCTGCATGTACTCCTCAAACACCCGCTTGTACCCTCAGGAAATGCTGTGAAAAGACAATCAGTGTTAGACAGATGTACAAAGTCTCAAAGAGGTACATAGGCAGTCATAACACAACAATGATCTCAAGGCTAATTTCACCATTTAACCTTGAGATATGGCACATGTGCCTCCTAGTATTATCTTTAAGATATTTGCTTTTTATTATTATAAAGTTGTAGTGGTAGTGGGAAATTCCAGTTAGCAGCACGTGAACCACGTTTTATGTAACGTTACTTTGCACCCCATTGCTAAATGCCTCTGTTTGTGGCATATTTGTTCAAGCAAAGCAAACATTAAAAATACAAATAGTTGTTTCTTGTTTACTTCAGTAACAACCCTTGCGCATTAGCATGTTAAAACCATGTGACATCTTTATTAGCATGTCTTTGACGGTGACGACAAGCACGCTTTATCGTAAATCCTTTACTCGTGTTAGCTAGTTAACGTCAGTTAGGCTAGCGTTAACTAAACATCACGGTGTTAGTAAATGTATGATTGCAATACATCATTCCTGACAGAAAGATCAACTCAACAGAGATTTAAATGAATCATTATTGACCGTACAATTCAAATACGTCAACCTAACGTTACCGTCGACTAAAGATGTTACGTTAGCTCGCAGGTTTGACAGCGGAAGCGGTGCTGTTTTCGGTGAATGTTCAGAAGTGACACAAACCAAAACTACAACATGTTTAACATGCATTTAGGGCATTGTTCAAGTAATGTCTAAACAAGTTATATGAACGCTTCTTATACTCTAACATGTTTACATTAACTGTTAGTTAGCTATTTAGCTTCAATCGATGTTCGGCCTATATTCGGCTATGTTGTTAGCTTTGGAGTTTAGCTCGTTAGCTTGCAATGACTCGCCACATTTTTCGCTTATTTGCTTACCAAATTTGAAACTTGAGAAGAGGTCCATTTGCAAACTGCATCTTCATTTTCTTCACTCCACTGTTGTCGCCAGACGAGGCGCACAACAGCGAGGAAAGCCCCACAACGAGGAGCGAAAATTGCAACCACTTCATCGCTAACCGTGCCGGGGTTTGGTTCCTCCGCCTGTCCGTCGGTGTGAAGCCGAGGAGGCAGCAGGTTAATCTGAGCGTCACTGCCAGACCCCTCCTCCTCCTCCTCCTCTCTTCCCCCTTTAGCACCACCTACTGCTAAGGCTGTTCAACTCATATAAGAATGGGCCATGGAATAAACATATACTTCAGCAGAGGTGGGAGAAGTTGTCAGATCTTGTACTGAGTAAAAGTATAACTACCAGAGTGCAGTACTCCGTCACAAGTAAAAGTCCTGCATTCAAAGTCTTACTAAAGTTAAAGTATAAGCATGGAAATATACTTAAATTACCAAAAGTAAAAGGACTTGTTGTGAAAATTGGTCCATTTGAGTAAATGTTCTTAAATTACTTCCCACATGTTTTTTAGGCAGTGTTGTTAAGTACATTTACTCAAGTACTTGCTTACAGTATTTTACTTGAGTATTTATATTTTTTTGCTGCTTTTTACTTCTACCCCACTACAAATCAGAGGTACAGTACTTCTACCCCACTATATTTATTTAGTTTGCAGATTTGGAATAATGAGGCACTTTAAGACCCGAGTACTTCTTCCACCACTTATTTGAGGGATCAGTTGTTTTCTCTGTGCTGCTTTTCAATCACAATATGTGTATCATGTTGTTAGAGATTGTTGATTGTTTTGTGTTAAATTATGTGTTGGTAGTGTACACTGAAGTTATTTGAGCAAACATACGGATTAATAAGAAAGGTTTTTATTACATTTCTCTGCAAACATATCCGAGCTAGACTTGTTACAAATCTTTATGCAATATTGAGACAATTTTAATCACACCCCCCCCCTCACAAAACCAACATTGAAAGTTCAACAATAATATACTAGTGCCCACTGAAAGTATAAGACAGACATGGAAACATCCACAGCAATGCATTCAATAATATACACACAAGTAGTTCCTCAAGTGATTACATTCTTACAAAAATAATCACTTTCAATGAATTAGTGTCTGCATACATTTATATATATTCAACACGTTAAAATCAGCTGCTTCAACAACAGACATTTTCATAATAAACACACTTTGTGAGTGGCTCCATGGGTTTTCTTAGAAGCATTGCCTTGCCATTCTCTCCTCGTCGACAGCAGTTTGCAAAGCCTCTACCATTCCTGTGGATGACAGATAAGACATAATGAATAAAGGCTGAGCACATGCGTCTACACAGATTTAGGTCCTTCATGGCATTAGGTCTAAACTGAGCTGATCCCAGAAAAATGGGAAATAGATTCTTGACTACTTTTTTCACAATGCTGCATCATATTTAACAGCAATCCAAGAAGGTTAATGTTGATTTTGTTTCATAACATATATTGCTCATTGGAAAGAAAAGATCAAGATGTAGTTTGTACAAACCCATGAATGTCTTGGCATAGTCCACCAAGTCCGGAAGTCCTTCCTCGATATTGTAAGTGCTTTTCCCCATTGCATTGTAGAATTCATTGGCTTTCTGAGAAACAAAAGTGATACAAGTGTGAGTAAAATGCATTCCCACTTGTCTTGTATGCTGTAAAAAAGGGCAAGCTTGAGGACACTTTACCTGGACCTGTGCATACACCTTCTCCTCCAGCTCTGCCACACGGGAAATGGAATCATACACACTGGTATCCGCAACAGATTCCTACAAAAGGCACACAAAAGCAAACAGAAACACATTTAAAGCAAATTATACAATCAATGTTAAAATGTAGGTTTATGTAGTGCAAGCTGACCTCCTCTGTGGAGCTTTCTAACGGCTCTTGTGCCTGTACTGCACAGTTGGCCTTGGAATTGCCTTTCAGTTCCTTCACTCTGCAAAAGATTAGAACATGTTTCAAGTTTTCTGTTCATAATAAAACATTTGTTTCCTTTAAAAAAAATAAAAAGTTATATTTTGAATCAAGTTAAACTAAATGTGTACCTGTCAGCATAACGTAGAGTGTTCATTGTGTATTCACAGGAAGCCAGGCCTGGAGACACCATAGCAATCTGTGGATGGAGAGAAGGAAACATACATCTACGAACTTTCTGTACTTACACTCCCACATGTTCAAATTCATACAAGTTTGGGGTTTAACTTACCATGCAGGTCCTGGACTTCTCTCCAATAAAGGAATCCCTGAGCACTTTTGTCAATGTGCTCATCCGGAAAGGAATGTGGTCGCTGTTCATTCCCAGCGAACGGATACACTCCTACAAGACACAAGAATGACACACAGGCATATTGGGTGTGTTTAAAAAAATTCCTTTTAGGTGCTGTGCTTGCACATTTATAAATATTCTGGCAGAGTTCTGGGAATGTCAGATACGTTTTGCATTTGGAGCATTGAACACTTTTTGTCATTTGAAAGTACCAGAGTTACTTCTTACGTTCCCAAACTAAGTTGTAAGAGAGAAAATGGTGCTCATCTCACTTTTCATCCACAGCCCCTTATCTTGTGTGCACCACTCCACAGCAATCAAAGCGTACCTTGAGAGCCAGCAGGCTGCGGTTGATCTCGGCCGTCTCCACCAAAGTGCTCCGGTCATTGCTGCTGACGTCAGTGCCGCGCTCATTGCCAGCCAAATCAACAAGAGAAAACTTGCCGTGCATCGTGGTCGCACGGTCGTTGCGCCGTAGGACAATCTGAAGGATGGCATGGGAGCGGGAGGAGTTGGCGTTGGCCGAGGTCTGGCCTGATGTTCTGGAGAAACAGTAGGCAAAAGGAAAGTCGTTAATGTTGTATATTTTTTGAGCTGAATGACACAAATATCAGAACTAAAGTGTACGTTTTTAAATAAACAAGTTAAGAGGAATGAAACATTATTTCATAGAACTATGTAGCATTAGTTTGAAACATTCTTAAAACAAAAGTACCTGCATGAACTGCCCATCTGGATAATCTTGATGACCTCTTCTGATGTGGTCACATAGACCTCCTCCAGGCCCACCACCTGGACCTGCTGTCGTTCATCCTCCAGGACACGGAGCTTGGTCTTCTTATTGAGTAGGTCATACACCTAATTCAGAAAGGATATTTTGCCTTGAGCATAACTTGAATAAGCTGTTCAAATAAATGCGTTCATATAGGTAGGTTTTTTTCCTTACTTTTCCATTGTAAATCTCGAAGAAGCTGACATAAGCAGAGAGATCCAGGTTGGCATACCTTCTGTGGTTCATATAGGCGAAAACATCCTGGGCTAGAAGGGAAATACTCAAATATTATTCAAAGTGAAGCCCTCATGTAGGTAGGGCTGCACTTAAAAAGGATTTTTATTATCAACCAATCTGTAGATTATTGTCCAAATTGATAAATATAATATTAAAATGTCAGGATATCCCGGTTTCTCTAACTACAATTTGGTGTCTTTAAATGTTAAGTGTTGTCTGTGCAAAACCAGAATATAATCAATTAAATATGATATAAAACCAGTGTCTGCACATGTTAGGGTGCACATTAAATGACTTTTTAAGATGGTTGCAGTCCTACCTGCCATGGCGTAGATTCCCTTTGAACTGTTCTGCTGCTTGCCTGTGAAATCACCTCCCATTGTCTAGAAAAATGGGCCAAAGAGGTAAAAAGATGAATAAATAAAATTCTAGTAACTTGGAAAATATGTCAATAAGTCAATGCCATACAGCAATCAGAGGCTTACATGAGTCTTCCCACTTCCAGTCTGGCCGTATGCAAAACATGTTGCCATGCCACCGTCGAAAATGGACTGCACCAAAGGTTTGGCTGTGAACCTTAAGAAAAGAAAATCAAGGGGCTTACTTTTTAAAAATCAACATAAAAAAAACGAATTTGATGCATGTACGGTTTCAACATATTTACTCCTGATTTACACTGTAGTTCCAATAAACCCATACTGAACACTGCTGTGTACACTTTCCCTCTCACACAATGTTTTTCACAGCTAGTGGGCAACGAGACAAAAACCCACACAAGAGAGAGAAGACAAAGTGAGATCCCTTATATGATATGCCCAAGAAAAAAAAGATTCTGATAAACAGACGATTGAATCCAATCAGATCCATCTCCTTGCTAATTGAAAAGGGATGTGAGGGAATTACTTGTAGACCAGTTCATTGGTGGCGGTTTCGTTAAAGGAGTAGTCGAAGTGGAAGACTTGGTTGTCCAAGTACTTGGTGAGGTCCACCTTCTGTTTTGGCTCATGGACCAGCAGTGCCCCTTTCCCAGGTATAGACACCACATCTATCTCTTTTCTGGTAATCTCTGGAAAACACAAGAATGTTAAAATTAAACAAATGTCACAATATGTATTTCACTGTTTTGTTAATTACTCCTTTATATGCAGATACAGTTGACAATATGTTTGAAATCACTTCCAGTATACCTGGTTTGTTAAAGGGTCGCTTGCGAACGCATACGCTAATCCTGTGAGGTTCGATCTGTGAAAACACAATATGAGCGATAAGTATGGCTGTAATGGCAAACCGGCGTATTTCTTAAAAAGGTACATTGTTCTTGAGTCCAAACTAACATGGTCAGTAGTTGATAAGGGGGTTATTTCCAAGGTCTCTCTGAAGTTTTGGATCATCTCATAGAACTTCTGGTTTGGCCGAGAAGCTTCTCCAAACTAAAAGAGAACAAAGGGAATGTGAGATGGAGTTTCCCTCATGTCAAACCTTGTAGGAAAAACAAAAGATTTTTTTTAAACTCACCTTTCCCCTCTTTGTCTGCCCATCGGGAGGCTTTGCAACACTAGACAGCCTTTTGCTGCCTTTGTTTATCTCTGGGTGGGCTACAGATTTTCTTCTGCCTAAAGTGCATAGAAATAATGTATACTTTCTTTGTTTGTCAAATAAAAACACCCTAAAAACTTTACATTGTCATCATTGCAATACCCAACACATTTTAACACATAACTTGTATAAGCCTCAGATCATTAACCACCTGTTCATACTACTCATAGAACATTGAGTTCATATGGTCTATGTGTGTTTAATCAGGGTATATACAGGAATCCTGAGGTCAAATTTAATACCTTTTAAGACCTTTTTTAGGACCCTTTCCATACATTTTAAGACCTTATCGCAACTTCGAGTTCGAACCGGTTACATTGGCAACACACTTTACCTCACATTGACTATATTGATTGTAAGATAGCACAACTAAACAGAGTGCAGACAGACTACTGAAGCCTCCTTTCCACATGAACTTCAACCTCTCTGTGAAGGACAGGTTTAATGCAGTATGCTGCGTTGTTGCTTCTGTAGACTCTGTGCTCTTTCATTCCAGTCAAACTCCTCAGAAACCATTAGAAACCAGTATTTGACCAATAAACAAAACAATAGACAAAACTTTGAACTATGAAATATATTAAACTTTGGTGAGCTTCAGCGGGGTAATGCCATAAAGGAGCTCCCTCACAAATACCCAGTGTTTAAATTGGCCCGGCACATAGGACGATGCTCTGACGTCATCACCCTCACACATTTGTCATATGTTTACAAAAAACGATATATATGTTAAGACTTTTCTCGTTCTTAATATAGAATATATTTA